TCAAAATAGAAAAACAACTAAAGCATCCGTCATAAGCAACTCATTATTAAGTATAACATCATTTATAAATCACTCACCGGAACATTTACTTTGTACTGTAATACTGAAAAATGTAAGTTAATGTTAATTAAACAATCTATCTTGCTTTATTTCCATTCTTTTAAGACAACACGTTGGAAAACTTAAACCCATAAAAATCATAAAACCATTACAGTTTATGAGCATAATAATGTCATTGTCATGTCGTCTTTAGACGAGACATTTTATGGAACATTAAGTCTCTTAAGCCATTATAGTTTGTACATGACAAAATAAAATGGACCTTTATTTCCTATTCACCCAAGTAGCACAGCACACACAAACTGTTTTCTTCCTGAACATTTTTTGAATCGACCAAACTAATGACCAAAGGAGGAATACAAGCTCTCAGCTGTGTGATCTTTTGCTTATAGACACAATGTGACAACTCATTCAGGGCCTAACGGTTTCAGATGCACATGTGCTTCATTTTAGCTTTGACTCATTATTCTTCTAATATCAATAAAAGCTTATTTTGAATGGCTCTGATCTGTATATTTATTTTAATTGTATGTTAAGGACTGAATGGACTATATTTGGACAGGAACCTAGCTTACATCATTTTATTTTATTAAACTAATGTTAAAAAGCAATGCCTTCATGATGGAAGAGTGCAATCTTAATAACATATCTAATATTAAACCATGCAGCAGTTGGTTTGTCCTAGAATGTTTAGCTCTTATTGTTTTTATTGCAAGAGTTATTACCAGGGTTGGGTTGTAACGGAATACATGTAACGGCGTTACGTAATCAGAATACAAAAATCAAATAGCCTAACTGTATTCAGCTCGCGTTACATTTGAAAAACGAGTAATCTGATTACAGTTACTTTCGTAAACCTGAAGTGAATACATTTTGGATTACTTATTGGAATTATTGGTGGAAAGATTTCCTCACAACATTTAATATGCATTACTAAAGGAACAGCCGAATCATCACAGCGCACAAAACCTTACCGCCGCAGATGGACCAAAAAAGGGAGCGTTTGAAAAAAATGTGCGGGTCCGCTCAGTGAAACAATAACAACGAAACATGGAGGAACAAAAGTCTGCGTTTAAATCTTGTGCGCGTGTGTGTGTGTTTGTAGAGGTGTGTGTGGTTAAAACACATCAGCCACACCGCTCTTTAGCCTTTCTAATGATACTGAAGGTAAACACAGTGAAGGCGGTGCGTGAAAGGCACGGCGCGCTCCTCTTCTCAGAGGCTGAGTTAACCCTCCCGCTGCCTCCTGGGGGGTATACTACGAAGCAGGATTTTCGCTTGCGTTTTCGCTAACTTCAGGGAAAACTCTGGGTTTCCAGTCCTACGAAGCTGGTTCTCTTAGGCTAGATCTCCATGGTAACTTATGCTGTGCGGCTAACCTGGTCGGAACCAGGGGGGTATACTACGAAGCAGGATTTTCGTTTAGCAAGATAACTTCTGGGATTTCCGGTACTACGAAGCTGGTTCACTTTTTAGCGGGCTAGATCTCCATGGTGACTTATCCTGGAACCTAGTCTGTGCTCCGAAGCAGGATAGGTTCCAGGATAAGAGATCAACTCAGCGAAAGCACCACGCCTGCTGACCAATCAGAGCTCAGTGTGCGGAGGAAATACAGTTTAACTGCCGTTGCAGGAAAGACGGCCGGACAAAATCACCGACTGTGTGAACGTGAAAATGAATAGAACATCACCTCCCATCTTCAGAGCAATCTGACTATTATAACTATTATACTATTAGGCTATGTTAAGAAAGCTTAATTAAATATCTGCCACAACATAAGTAACCGGATCAAAGTAACATTACGTAGCCTACAGTCAGCGGCACTGTGAGTGTAGACGTCGATGTGTCCCATTATCATAATATATCATATATTTCCTTATCTGAGTCAGCTGAGCCGTATCTGGCTGTGCAACACTCACAGTGTCACATTGTATGCATAAGTATTATTTTAAGCAACACATTAAGTTGACGAAACACTTGAGTCAAATGTAGGCTAATTCAAGTCAGATCCACTCATGTCTTGGACGGGGCAGTGATATCATAAACCTGTTAATGTACGCATTCAAACACTTGTTTTTTTACCAGCTGTATTCACCTTGCAGGTGCAGCTATGTGGCTTTTATCCTGGATAAAGTGTTTAAGTCATGGATGTTTAAAGTTTAACTTCTTCATATGTCTAATATTATAGTTGACTTTTCATTCAGGAAGTATGACGCTGCGCTTCTCCATGTTTGTGATTGGTCGAATGCTCCAGATACCACCCCTTTTATGTGAACGCGCACCTAACTAGATAGGACACGGCTGGCTTGAGCGAACGAGTTGATAGCCAGCGTTGTAGGACAGTTTAGCGAGAGCGGCTTTGTTTTGGATTAAGTCAACCGGATAACTCAAAACATATCCAGGATAGGTTGAACTAGATTCGTAGTATACCCCCCAGCTTCGTAGTACAGGCCTCTGGTGCTGCAGAGATTTCATGAAGTGAAGGAGGTTTTCCTTCTATAAAACAGCTGTGGGCAGCAAATACTGTGATTGTCACGGACATTAATTCATAGATCAAGGCAGACTGGTGCACACACTCTCCTGTTTTGCCAATCCGGTGCTTGAACAAATATAGCTCTACACCCCTGGCCGAAATGTCCTTAAAATGAAGTCCGAGTTCGACATTTTAATTCATGTCCTGCCAACACTAGCCGTGTCCCTCACTCCTCACATCACAAGCTGCATCCCCAAAAAGTGTATTATGTTGTTACATCGTTTCAGATGTTATGTTTCAGTTGTGCTCTTGATACGCCATTAAAACAGTAAAAACACGTTCAGTTTCCTTTTGTTTTTTGTGTCTCCTGTTCACCAAAACATACCCATCTGTGATGGAAAAAGAAAGTAATCCAAAAGTAATCTAAAAGTAATCTGATTACGTTTTAAGACACGTAACTGTAACTGTATTCGGATTACTTTCAGAGCCATGTATTCAGTAATCAGTAACTGATTACATTTACAAAGTAACCCTCCCAACCCTGGTTATTACATACATTTTGTATCAACTGCTCTTCTGCTGTTGAACTGTTTTATCTGTTTAACATGAAATGTATCTGTTGCAACCGTTGCAACAAAATAAGAATAATTTTTACATATTGTATGAACTGGCTCCTAAATGGTGCAGGGGTACAGTGCTATTTTTTATAAGTGGGGGGTGGACCGAATATCCTTTAGGGGGGTCGTCGCCTCCTCTCGGGGGGTCCGGGGGCATGCTCCCCCGGGAAGATTTTTTTTTAAATATTGAAGTTGAAAGCATCAATCTGGTGCACTTTGAGAGCAACATTAACCCTACCTTAATAACACCTTAAAGCGAACAAAAGGCACTGGAGAACACTCATTAACACCCTTTAATGAAGCAAACTAATGCCTTAACTCACTCAAATAGTCGTTTACTTATTAAGGTGTAACGAATGTGCGTAGAGTTTTAAAGGATGCGGATAGTCTCACCTTGATTCTGGCGCATTGCTTATCGTTTTATAGATCTATTCTTATCCACCATCTTTGTTTGTGACGTAAAGAGTGTAAGAGTCACGTTTCTGAATCGGACACTCTGAGTGGATGCAGTCACAGCCAATCGGAGTCTGATTCAGAGCATTGCCTGTCAGTTCTGTTGTTATGTGTACTGAAACGAGAGCCGGTATAATTCCACGTGTGAAAACAAAATAAAAATTGGAATACTTTATTTTAGTGTCTTAAAAGTAGACTGAGTTATGAAGGGTTAACGTTACATCTTTGGATAATTTTTAGTCATGTTCTGTATACATACTAACATATAAGGGTATACTTAGTGTGGTTACTCCATGTTTACTAGCTATAACATTAACGTTACATCACTCTTTTTCACTTCTTACAGCCAGAGTGCAGATATCACCATTAGATTAACAAACCTGAAACATCATGGATTTCTTGACTGCTGGTGATGACATTGTTGTCAGCTGCTGATACTGCTGCTGCTGCAGCTTGTGGCGCCGGCTGCTTCGATGACAATAACTTTCTAATATCCATAACTGTATAGGCTATTAGCTTAAAACTCGTCAGGCACTAGGAATGATCACTTCTTCTTCAGGGCAGGCTACGCAGTACGCAGGCTAATGTCCCATAGTGGCTACCTCTCTGGTGGACTCCGGTACTGCACATTACTCCCGAGACGTTATAAAAAAAAAAAATTACATTTTTTTTTTTTTTTTTAAGTGAAACATCCGGGGCTTGAGCCCAAGTAGCCACCCCCTAGCGCCGCCACTGTTACACACCTTCCGGCGCAGACTGAAAACTCATCTCTTTCGACTCCACTTCGAGCGATAGAACTATTAACAAAGCACTTTTATACTAATAAAGGGCTGGTTTATCTAAAGCCAGTTGAGTAGCACTTGAAATGTTTTTGCTCTATGAAACCTGATGTACTTATATGATTCTGTTTTCTTCAAGTTTGTATTTTGTTGGTCGAACGCACTTATTGTAAATCGCTTTGGATAAAAGCGTCAGCTAAATGCAATGTAATGTAATAATAACTAGTGAGATTTTATCAACCAATCCCAGGATTACATTAAAAAATAGATTTCTAATCCCATAATTTAAAGACAATGTAGACTAAATTTGTATAGAAATCAAACGTTTCTACCATGTAAAATATAATTTCATCACTAATAATAACATAATTGCCCTATTGTACTGTAGCAGCAGTGCGATAAACAGAAACCTCTTAAATTACCTGCCAATCCCAGGACTGTGCCATTTATTGATTTATTAGCAGCTAGACCAACCAAGCGTTAAACTAGCACCGTGAGAACTATCCAGTTTTAGCCAATGAACGTGTCGTCCTTGCCATATATGGTACTTGTTGGCCGGGATATCCTGTGGGACCACAGACACCCGCGTAAAAGGAATCTCTCATTGTGTTGATGAAGGGGGCGTAAGCAGTGAGTGGCAGGCCGGTCCCTGGAGGGAAACTACACCGCTTAAAACGTTCTCCAAAGGAAACGTCATATAACTCCTCGTACTAAAGATATGTTTCTGTCTGAGTCTGACGATGAATTGGAAGAGCTCCACTCGGATTTGGACTCCGAGAGCGAGTGCAGTCTGGACGAGGAGGAATATGTTCCGAGGGGGCTGGCCCGAGGATCCGACCAGTGAGTACAGACACCCGGAGCTATCGAGATAACCCCGCTACTAAACCGCATATGCCTCGGCTGCATGTGCTGCTGTCTGACTGTGGATGTATAAGAAGAACTGACTAATAATAACGCATGCATATAGGAGAAAAAGCACACGCAGGTTGCCTGTTGCACTTGTCCTGCTCCTCGTGCACATGCTGCTGTTACCCTGTTGCATAAAGCGCTGTGTACAAATAGACAGTTGCTGGTGTTGTTTTATGTTCAGTTTAAACCATAGGTTTAAACACGCAAAGCATTTAACTGTTGTGACAAGCTCGTGCACGTAACGGGGGCGTGCATACTCACGCTGTTTTACCTGAGTCCAGCTGTTGTGGGATTAGATGTTGATATTTCAACATGTGTGTCATCTAGCACTATATCAAAACAGTATGCATACAAGATCCTCTGAAGGAGTTCCAGGTTTTTTAAATGAAAAATAATTAGTTGCTCTAATACTGTAAACATTTGCTACTGATAATACAGCACTAATGAGATCAAATAAAAGCTTTTGGTGAACATGAAGAGTCCATCATTATAGAATACATGACGATCTGATATTTGATTAAGACAATTTACAATACATATTATGTACAGTACAACTAAGCCTGTGAAATCATACTATTATGTGTGGCTCTGGAGAAGCTTTGTTAAATATTAGAAAAAAACAATCCTGATGATGTCATCAGGTTTATCTCAGTTTGGACAATAGAGTGCCGCAGTGACGCGTCCTAAAACTCGGAAGTAAGTTAGCATTTTACCACTTCCGGTTCCTTTGCCAAAAAAAAGCAAGTACCTGCCTCCTGCAAACTGTTAAAACAAACGCTTCAACTTGAACAATTTTGAATCTGTATTTTTGAATATGGATCTTAAGTTGGCGTGACGTTGAAGCAGCGACCCTGCTGTAGTTCATTTATAGCATAACGTTAGCATTTTGTTTCTCGCGACTACATTTATGATTTGAAAATTATAAAAGTAGGGTAGACATGTGGATATTATCCGGCTGAACAAAACGTGATCCGTCTCTTAAATGTGTGTCAACCACAGACCTTATTTCGATCTATTTTCCAAAATCCTATGGAGAAATAGCATTGCTTTTTTGTCGAAGGAACCGGAAGGAGTTTACTTCAGGGTTTTAGGACGCGTGACTGTGGCACTCTATACAGATTTATGACAGAAAGTCTACATTAATAACTTGTATTTGGATTTTCCTGCCTCAATGTAGGCAACATTTAAAACAAATGTATGTTTTGTATTGTGATATTGCGGAGCCCTGGAGGGTTCATAGAGAGAAAAATAAATAAAATGAGGCCACGTTTTATTAATTTGTGCGCACGAGATGTAATTCGTGGCCTCAATTTAAGTAAAACGAGGTCACCCTTTATTAATTTGTGCGCACGATATACTTTCTCGTTCACACGAGAAAGTTACCGGTGCGCCAAGTAGGAAGTGGAGCGCACAGGAGACAACCGTTTCATTGCAGACTGTTATGTTTATGTGGGGATATGACAGTGCATACATTATTTGAGATATATTTCAAACTCGGACTTCATTTTAGGGATATTTCGGCCTGAGGTGTAGAGCTAGTATTTGTTTAAGCACCGAATTCGCAAAACAGGAGAGTCTGTATACCAGTCTGCCTTGATCTATGAATGAATGTCTGTGACTCTCACAGTATCTGCTATCTGTGCGCAGAGAGCTGTGTCTTTTACACAGCGCCTTCACTGTGCCACAAATTGAGAACACAAATTACATCTCGTGCGCACAAATTAATAAAACGTGGCCTCGTTTTATTTATTTTTCTCTCTATGAACCCTCCAGGGCTCCTATGATATAGATACATGTACATGTAATTTAGTAATCCATCTGTAGAATTAATAAAACTCCATTAAATACAATTACCAGATCAAGTGTTTTGGGCTGAAATACCTGAATAATATGGTGGAAATAGTCCCCATCCCTAATGACATTTTTAAAGTGGTAGCAATATAATATTATTAATATAGCCACTATAGAGTGCCGCAGTGACGCTTCCTAAAACCCGGAAGTAAACTCCTTCCGGTTCCTTCGACAAAAACCAATGCAATTTCTCCATAGGATTTTGGAAAATAGCTCGAAATAAGGTCTGTGGTTGACACACATTTAAGAGACGGATCACGTTTTGTTCAGCCGGATAATATCCACATGTCTACCCTACTTTTATAATTTTCGAATGATAAATGTAATCGATAGATTTATGATCAATAGATTTATGATTCGAAAAAATGCTAACTTACTTCCGGGTTTTAGGACGTGCCACTGTGGCACTCTATTGGGACCATGTCACATTCATGGTCCTTACCTTTAATTTTATTTTCTTAGATATAACCGATAATTGCTTTAATCATTGTTTGTTGCAATTAACCATTACATCCAGAAGAATTTCATCCTAGTTTACTGAATAATAATCCTTACCTACATGCACTTTATTTACAGGGATGACTTCAGTGATGAGGACAGTTCAGACGAGGAGTGGGCTAGTAAGCCTAAGAGGAAAGTTTCCAGGAAGCGCTGCTGCTCTGTTTCTGCTTCTCCGGTGTCATCACCCCTGAAATCCCCATCTAGGAAGCAGGAAGTGAGTCCATGCAGAAAGAAGCTACGCTATGCATCCACACCCAAAAAAGATACCTCCACCCCAAACAGTGGCAAGACATTATCCTCTCCACGGGGGAAAAACAAAAGCTGTAAGCCAGCAGAAAAAAAAGTTGTGATAGAGGAAGAGGATGATGTTGATGGAGACCGGTGGTGTAATATTGATGAGGAAGACGTTGAGCCTCTTCAGCCACGGTTCAGACCTGACAGAGACGTAGGGCCGCAGCTGAACAGAACAGCTAACTACACGCCACTCGAACTGTTTCAGCTGTTCTTCTCCATGACAGTAATCAATACTCTGGTGAAAAATACCAATGCCTACGGGAAAAATAAATACCAAGGCCAGAAGGAAAGCTGGGTGCCTGTCACAACAGCCGACATGTACTCCTTCATCTGCCTTGTCCTCTACATGGGTATTGTACCTCTTAAAACTCTGAAAGAGTTCTGGAGAGGATCTAAACTGTTTAGCTTACCATTTCCTGCCTCTGTCATGCCCTGCAGACGCTTTCTAGCCATCTCCCGCAGCCTACACATGAATGATCCTGCTGTAGAGATGGCCAATGAACAGAAGAAAGGGACATCAGGGTATGACCGACTTTGCAAGATAAAGCCACTCTATGGGCAGATTTTGGAGGCCTGCTACACTTTCTTTCATCCCTACCAGCATATCTCCATAGATGAAAGGATGGTGGCGAGCAAAGCAAGGATCAGTTTTAAGCAGTACATCAAAAGCAAGCCTACAAAATGGGGCTTTAAGCTTTTTGTTTTAGCAGATTCATCGTGTGGCTACACCCTAAACTTTTTTGTATATGTGGGAAGAGAAGGCGTGTCCTCAGGGAAGGGGGTAAGCTATGATGCTGTGATGAGACTGCTGAAAATCCCCTTTCTGGGTAAAGGATACAAGCTCTACACGGACAACTTTTACACCAGTCCAACTCTTTCCCTTGACCTCCTTCAGAGAAAAATCTGGTGTGTTGGCACGCTTCGCTCTAACGTAGCAGGGTACCCCAGAACGAAAAGGAATGCCATGCCTGAGAAAACACCCAGGGGAACCCTCCGGTGGATCAGAAAAGGACGGTTGCTGTTTGTGAAGTGGTTAGACACCCGGGAGGTAACAATGTGCTCCACTTTACACAAGGCTTACAGCAATGAAATGGTGAAGCGGAAAGTGAAAGACGCAGATGGACAGTGGAGAGTGAAGGAAGTGCCCGTCCCAGGCTGCATCAAAGATTACAACCAGCACATGGGGGGGGTTGACTTGTCAGATGCCCTCATTAGCTACTACAACGTCCTCCATAAAACCCACAAATGGTACAAGACTCTTTTTTATCATTTTGTGGACATAGCCACCGTGAATGCCTTCATCCTGCACAAAGGAATGTGCAAACTGCAGAATCGGCCCATGTTAAAGCAGAAAAACTTCAGGGAACAACTGATTGTGGCCCTGGCTGAGATCGGGTCAACTCCACGGCGGTCAGGCCCACAAAACTTTATGTTGCCTGCCTCTCCATTCAAAGTGCCTCCTGCTTCTCCATCCATTGTACCGGCCAATGCAGCTCCGTGTCCATCGGCTGAGCTGCCAGATGCTCCAGGTGTAGGTCACCTGCCAGCTTACTTTGTTGAGCAAATGACCAATGTGGCCCCCAAAGATCGAGCCACAGCTGGCAGAAGGGCGTGCGTGGTCTGCAAGAGAAAGTCGCCAGTCTACTGCAGTACATGTCAAAAAACACTTTGTTTCACTACTTTAAGGAACTGTTATAGTGAGTGGCATAGAGACAATCGTATTTGTGTGTAAGCGACCACACTGACTTGTATATAGTGTGTATAAAGGGCCCTATGATAGGGAGAGGCAGCTGATGTGTCACCATTTTCTGATAAGTCCTTCATAAACATGTTCCTTTGATTCCAACAAGTCTTGAAATGTCATAAGGCTTTTTACCATGTTTACATTGAGTACTTAAAACACCTATGCAATTGGTCTTCATGTACAAAACTACAATAACTTGAATAATAGCCTTAAAGTGTGTTTAATGAGCTAGAGGAAACTCTACAAAAAGTATTAATCTACCTATCAATTTTTACTGGCAAAATTAACTATCAAAATTAAAGTACTCCCAAGGCTATTGTATCTGTTCCAGTTATTACTCCTTATACATTTCAATATCTCTGAAACTCTTAAAAATAACATACATGATATGTAACTGTAAAGCAGAACTTACTAACCAGGTAGCATCATGTCACTGTCTGGAACACAGAAATATTGGAGTAACAACTATATATCATCTAAAAAAACACAATTGAAAAGTCGTCTCCCAGCATCATAGACATAGACATCTACGTACCACTGCCTGGAAGACTGCTGGAAAAATTAGAGATTAGAGACAATATAGTGTCAGAAGATAATGGGCAAATTCATATTAATGAGCGCAGCTTCTAAAACTCTTATAGCTAAATTAGTTTGAAGTACTTAAATATTTGAAAAGGCGGGACTTTTTTTATATTAACAATATTAGATTTGGTTATGTCAGAGCTGTGGAATATTTCTCACACTCAGGTGTACATCAGCTCCAGGTTATAAACTTATTTAAAATGCGAAATACAGCTCCGAAAAATATTAAGAGACCACTGCGGCATTATCAATTTCTCTGGTTTGACTATTTATAGGAATGTGTTTGAGTGCAATGACGTTTTTGTTATGGTATTCTATAAACTACTGACAATATTGCTCTGTGTTGGAATTCGACATACAATGGAATGGAAAGCCTGCCATACATAGAGATTGAAATTTAAGAACAATTTGGAGTGGTCTCTTGATTTTTTTTCAGAGCTGTATCTGTTAATGTTTATTAGCCTTCAGAAGCAGGTCATTATGAGTGTCAGCAGAACAAAACCAATCATATTGTGCATCCCAAATGAAAATCAATACCTCAGGTCATCTTCTGTTATCTGCAACTAAGATCCTTCTTACAACAAATGATGATTCTTCATGTGGGAAGTTCATTTAGTTATTTAAATCAATGGAAGACAGTTAAACTACCTCTGAAAATGTTTACATGTGCACTCGTTTAACTAAAATGACATCTTATTGTTGTTAACATGAGTCATTTGTTACTCAGCTGTTGTTTCTCCAGGTTTTGGTACTGCTGTACAGTACCTCAGCAGCTTCCTCATTTTCTTCTTTTTTGTATGCAACAAAAAGTTTTCTTTGCTTCATATTTGTATTTCTGAAGCTCAGATGTTTAAACATACTTAATATAAAGCAGAACTTTTGTACATATAAGCATGCCGTTTTCTTTTTACAGTTTACCTCATCAACTCACTCCACACTAATGACACGATACTTGGTGCTACATTTACATGGATCTACATTTCACAATTGTTTGTGAATATTTAAAGAGTTCTTTACAACAACAGAGCACACTATTAAAGCATTTTGTACTGAACAATGAACGTTACATTACTACAGTCTCAATCTGCAATACTTCTCCAGCTCTTCCAAAGTTATTTCAAAGTGCCTCTTCTGTTGATAAACATGTTTTTTATACACTACTCTTTTGAATGCTGTATGTGTAAGTAGGTTGGAGTAGGGATTTGGAATAGCCTTTTTTGTGTGTGTTGTTGTACAAAAATAAAAAGTAAATACAAATTAGAGCTGTACTCGGTATGTTTATATTGTTATGGCGGTGGTGTATAAATAAAGGTAAAAGATGGGACAATATTGGACAACTATAGTTCATAACATTTACATGTACTCTTGATTTTGGTAGATGACATTTCCAAAAGTTAAAAGCATACAACATCTTAGAAGAAGTCCAAATATAAAACACATTTACTAGTTGTACAAGAAGCTGAGATCATTATGCTCCTGTGGAGGGGATGCTTGAATGATTCAGTGATGCTAAATATCTTAAATAATGCTTTGGTACAAGAGGAAGTGTTATAAAATGTTTCATTATCATTCAAAAAAATACATTCATCATAATGTGTTAACTGCATTCATTCAGACATTCATCTTAAAGGTGGGGTAGGTAATTTTGGAGAAACCAGCTCGAGTGCGCTAGAATTTGAAAATACTGAACCAGAAAAAATCTGCCTCTTCCTTCCAGAGCCCCTCCTCCAACACACACAAACACACACATGACCAATGAGGGCACGAGATAAGTTTGTGCACAGATGGAAGGCTGACAGGCAGGTAGGCCATCCAGTTACTTTAGCTGGGCCGGCTAAAATGATTGGTCGTGCTTTTTACAGCACTACGGCTTCCACAGATGACGTTTTTTTATGGATTTTTTCAAATCAAATCAAGTTTTATTTATATAGCACTTTTATAAACGATTTTTGGTCGAGCCAAAGTGCTGTACATATAATAAAAATAGCCTACAGTAGAGACACTTTACAGCAATAGCACAGATTGTTCAGGATATCAATATGAGGAAGAAAAAATTCTTTACTTACTTTTTGTCAAAGTACTTCAGATATTCATTGCTATCGGGATGTTAAGAGCTTTCCATGGAATATAACAAAAAGTGTATCTCGGGCCGGTTTCTCAAACTTACCTACCCCACCTTTAAGTCATTACACCTGCGTAAAGGTGTGAAACAAAGCTGCTCTCAAACTCTCTATTGAGAGCTTTAGAGATTCAATACAATTGAATAAATACAATCTGCCAACTATAAATCGTGGTAATGATCATGTAAATCAATCCACACTTTAATAAACAAAGCTGATGTGTCAGTCAGTTAATGGGTCACACTGAATTCTCAATGTTACTTTACCCTGACAGGAAACACAAACAGTATGCTCCGTTCACACATGTTTTTTTCTTCTTCAGGAAATGTAAAATAAACTGAAAAAAACAGATGTCCAACTGAGTCCCTTCATCCTGCTGATGCTGATTGTTCTTTGAGAAACGTTATAATGCATTGCTTATTTCTTTCAATAAGTGTCAATTCGTTATATATTTAATATTTGAGAACAATATTTGAATCAAAATGTAACTGATTATCAAACATTTACATGTGCACAGCTGCATTTGGGGAACTTCCTTTAGCTATAAACATTAGCTCTGCAACTGCAGATTATTTCCATCTTAAATGTATCCGCCAATTATTTTATCGATGAATCCATAAAATGTCAAAAAACATTTAAACATGTACAGTCCACTTTCTGAAGGTCAAAGCTGTCTTTAAATACTTTGTTCTGCCAATCCAAATATATTCTACGGTGGCCCTGAAGTGCAAGTCAAAACAGCACTTCAGGAAACACCACAGCATTTCACAATAAAACACTTCACCCCAAATTACTCCTGTGGGGATTGCCCACAGTATTGAGTGTGGAAGTTGCTTTGGATAAAAGCATCTAACAATTAATGTGAAAGTTGAAATGCTGTGGTGTTTTCTGAAATGCTTTAGTGTTTTGTGAAATGCTGTTTTGACTTGCACTTCAGGGCCACCGTAATATTCAGTTTAACAAGATTTAAAACAGAATAGAAGAACATCTCCACATTTAAAGAGGCATATTATGCTCCTTTCAGGTTTATGTTTGTATGTTGTGCCTTTACTGTGACATATTTACATGCTTTAATGTTCATAAAGTACTTTATCTTTCTCATACTGCCTCATACTTTACCCTGCTCTGTTATTATTTGTAAGTCACTTAGAGATGTCCCGCCCCTTAGCCTATCAAGTACAATGTGTTGAAGAGCCAGCCAATAAAAGCGCAAAAGGAAAACCCCAAAAGCATAATAGGGCCTCTTAAAAAGGCATTTTCTGCCATTTTTAAATAAAAAAACTATTTGCAGTCAAACAATAAATATATTAGTCGTTAATCTTCCAAGCTCTTATATACTGTAACAATTCCCAAGTGATTTGAGACTGACCGGGTCAGAAGCGACAGCTACATAATTTAGTGGTAAAACTGCAGCAAGGTTAAATACAGGTTGAATGAATATGATAATAAAGCACTCATATCAGGGCTTCTCATAATCAGGGCCTGAACTGAGATATTGTCAATAGTAATGAACTGAATGTACATACATACACTGAAAACCAAATTAGTCCAGCAGCAGAATGCCCTGCGTATGTTAATGCTGCCCCTGACATTCTGTCCGCTAACAAGATAGTTAAGATAAAATAATGTTTTTCCCTTGATAGCTGGGTAAAAGAAAAACACGAGAAATGAAAGCGAGTGGAGGCATGGTAATGCAACACTAAGCATGGATGATGCATAAAATAAAAAAAGTCAGAGTGACCGCTGAACTTATCCTTCTCTGGTCTGATGGCAGTGGTACGTGCACCGGCACATTAGCAGCCAGGTGACAGCTGCGGCACGGCGTATAGCTGTGATTAATAGCCTGATAGCTCCTTTCACAGAGGCTTTGCGGACAGAGTGGCCTCCAAGGTGGGGCGATGTGATGGGAGCATCCGTCTGTGATTATATATCCTGTGTCTGCAGATAAGAAGACTGGTTAGCCTACTGCCAATCACACCCACAGATTGTATTTGGTTTTCTTCAAAACATTAAAACGGGAGCAATTCTGCAAGTGCGTAGCTCAAACTCATGTCAGGTAAAAAGCAGAAGTGTAAGGAAACACCTGCTTGGGTGTTAATAACACTGTTTCTGCTTACTAAATATTTTGGCCGCATTTGGAAATATTGGGTGTATTTTCTACATCACAGAGATCTTTCAGTGGTGGCAATGTTAGAGGTTCATTTAGTTTGATCTCTTCCTTCTGGCTGGTGCATGTTGTGATTGGTTCTGGACCCCTGTACTCTGAAATAACATTAGGCAGAAAAAGACAATGAATTACTGCATATGAATGACTAGCAATCCTCAAGCCAGACATTGTAAGGTAAGCACATGTGACCCTCTTTTGACTCCCACTGGCTGATGTATGACAATTGCTCATTAAAATAAAAGGCTGGCTCAAAGGAAGAAAGTCTGTAGTGTGTGTGTGTGTGTGTGTGTGTGTGTGTGTGTGTGTTAGAATTTCCTCCAGCTGCTCCAGTTTCCTGTCACAGCCCAAAGACATGCATATTAGGGTGAATTGATGACCTAAAAATTAAGCCTGGGTTTGTTTGCTTATGGCCTTTGTTGACCAAATGGTCCCAGGAACTGAGAAATCCTAAGAACCCAATAACAGACTAAAAGTTGCTTTTAAACATATCATTTGGTTCCTACTTCCTTCCTTGAGAATCCTGGATATTAGACTAGTTATTGATCAAAAAGTAATGAGTTTGTTTGAGACAAGTTTTGACAACCACATGCTGTTCTTTGTAATTTAGCATTGTGTGACGATGATGTTGAAATAGATTTTGAAATGGAGATGTGCAAAGGCGGAAAAAAGAAGATCTAAAAAGGAAGTACTTTAAAGGGCCTATGTCATGCTTTTCCGGTTATTACCCATCCCCTTGTGTGTTATGAAGGTTTGTATGCATGTAAACGGTCTGCAGAGTCACAAACCCTCAAAGTACACCCTGTAGCGAGTAAAACTCTAACACAGTCTATGCTGCCCCAAAACGCCTCGTTGGAGATTTCTCATTTTCCATTGTTTACTTCCCGAGTACTGTGACGTGTGAATACCCAGAGGCCACACCCCCTGCCAGCATTTCACGAAACAAAGCTTCCCAAACCTTTCAGCGATTCATGCCAGATATGTACAGTAGTGCTGTAGCGACGCGTCGACGACGTCGACTTCAAAATATCGTCGACGACATATTTCCGCGTCGACGCGTCGCCACCATAGACTGTATATATGGTCGCCACACACACGTGGGTCACCCAAAGCAACAAGCAGTTTGCAATCGCACTTCTAACACAATGGAGACTGAAACGGCTATCACCTCCTCCTCACAGGATTGCACACGAAGCCCTCAAACAAAAACATCTCGCCCTAGGTCTTCAAAAGCATGGGAATATTTTAAAGTTAGTCCAAAACGCAAAGATATTTATATATTTATATCTCACTGAGACTGCTGCTGGACCGGAAGCAGCAGCTAGCTGTGGTGGCAACCATTAGCAGTTAGCATTTGCTCTCCGATTTTTACATACAAATGGAATTATGGATTATAAATTCAATAATTTTTGTATACATAGACGTTAAAAACCTATGGATTAACCGATTCAGCCGCGTTTTTTCTCATTTTAATGCCATTGAACACGTATTTTGATCAGATTGACAGCTACGGCGGTGAGACGATCTCCCTAGAAGCTCTGTGAAGGTACGTGTTGTGATGACTGTATTTGCTTCCCCTGTCGCGAGTCCGGATCACTCAGTGATGACACTATGTACCTACATAATCTGTGGAGTCTCAGCTTTAATCGGATATCTTGTATGTGCAGCTACGATAAGTAATAAGGGTACTTTTATCTTGAGTTCTGTGCCAATGTCCGTTAGCATTTTTCGCTCAGGGGTCATTTAGATAGCATTTTAGTTTGCTTCTTATGAGACTTGTGTTTTGTTTTGTGTTGGTAAACATGGTTTGTATCGTCAGTTAGCTGAGATTATTTCCGTTAATCTGGTATAACACATTAATAGGTTCTTAAATATTAAGATCCCCTGAGACACAGTACCGTGAAACATTTTTTTTTTACATTACGTTTTTTATGAATTGAACAACAGAAAAATAATCGTTCGATTAGTCGACTA